TTCTTACTCCTCAGTAGTACACTGCAATGACCCACTAACTCTATGGAGGGTGTTTCTAGTTTTGACATTTTTTATTCAATTGTTCTCACTTTCTTTACCAAAAACTTGGTACTTACGAATGGCCTGACACAGAATAGTTTTGCCTGGAAAATTACAAAACCTAAAAAATGCAACAACTACTTTCCCCAGAAGTATTAATTCTAAACAGCACATGTGTTATGTTTTCTACAAAGCAAACCCTCTGTTCAGTTCTTTTTGGGAAGCATTTGCAAACTGGTGGTTAGAAAAAAGAGCTGGAAACCTGGTGTATTCTATTATGGATAGATATACAACACAGCTTATGAGCTCCCAATCCCTAAGAAAATTGACTAACACATTTACACTGGAAGAAGTTAACAAAATGTAACACCCATGACAGCCTTCAAAGCTCTCTCACATCTTATAAGCATCATTTCTAATTAGCCCTCAAACTTATGCCTCTACTAAAGTGCCAAAAGCAGATGTTTTCCTTTTCAGTAGCTTAATATTGCTGCATAATTATGCTATGTTAAATGGGCAGTGATGAGATTTCCATTTTTATAGTAAGACTGTGCCATTAAACACACTTTTGCAGGAGTATCAATTGGGGCGCGCACATGTTATTCCACTAGTAAAGCATAGCTCATACCATTTGTTGGACTGGTGAACGTTTGGCCTTCTTATTTTGCATTACATTATTTGTGAAGGAAGGACACTAACTGCCAAATCCTATTCACAACCAGGCTTAGCTTGTGGGGCTTTATGTTTATCTGAATTACACCCGATCAATCACGTCCTCTGGTGAAGTACTTTGCATGCCACTGAACTTGATCAGACTTAAGAAGGAACTGAAGCTTTGCTTCCAAATGAGGTTACTATTAAACGTGTACTAGCTTTGCTTAAAGGTCTTAACCTTGTTCAACACAGAAAAGGCAAACAAAACAATTCTTGGAATATAGCTCTCTCGGAAAAAAACGCTGAGGAAAGGGTGTATTGGGAAATCAAGCCATGCAGTGAGAGATTAAAAATTCAAGCCATTGCAATATATTAAATGCGACCATTATAAACCTTGCCTTTGCTTAATTTTATCCGTAGACCATACCCACAATTATCACTGCATAACCAACTGCAGGTAAATAAAATCCAGCATAGTACTTCCAATACTGTATCCTGTTCTCCCATTTTGTTTCAGTATCCAACAAGTATGTCATTAAAAGATGTCATTTGTTTAATCACCATGAAATAATAGTGAAACCACAGGATTGTGACTATCCTGGTAAGTGTAACCTAAAAGTTTGTACCAAGTTTATGAATTCAGACACTCAGGGATCCATAAAAGCCATAAGAATACAAGGCGGTTAACACGACATCTAAGAAAGTTTCTGTGCCAATATGCTATTTGCTAGGAAGATTATATTACTTTTCCCCCATCGTGGCAACAGTGAAGGGAAAATCTATACATCAGTCTATATGTAAGGTACAGAAGTTTCTGTCTCTGGCCTATGAGTAAGATGTGGATGAATTAATCCAGACAGCTTTGTCACTCATCAGAAAAATACTGTGAACCCTTATTCTTCCTGATGCTGTGACGTCTACATAATACATTCAAACTCTATTTTCTTCCTTATAAGAGAAGCAAAAATGCTATACAAAACTAGACTAAGAAGGTGCAACCGCTGAACACCCTGTTCATGCATCCTTGCCTAGCTAGAGCAAGGGCAGCCAATGTAGCACCCTCTAAATACTGTTGGACTACAATTCCCATAAACCCTGACCTTTGGCTATACCAGCTGAGGCTGATGGCAGTTGGGAGTTCAACAACATCTGGATGTCAGAGCGTTGGCTACCCCAGAGCTAGGACAAGCTAATATTGATGAACAAAAGATGATAGAGAAATTGCTTGAAAATAGGAGTTGGAAGGTCAGGAACCAGAGGTTTTTCAAGAAATCCAGCATGTTCAAATAAGGAGCTATTTTGCGTGTTTTTATATATCCATAGTGCATTTCAAACAAAGTTAGCTGAATATGCGAGATGCCAGTCTGCAGCTGGTGTACAGCCTGAATGTGAGTAATGCCTGTTCTGTGAAAAAGGATAGGTTCCTCAGAAGCACCTGTTGCATATGAATATGCTCACTATGCCCAAGACCCACTCACTTGAGATCAGCAAACACTGAATACACAAAGGACACCATTATCATTGTCAGAGTTGATTTTAGCTTGCCTGAAGTTAATGTGCCTAATCAACGTAGAGGATTGCCAAAAGTTTAAATGCTAACACAGGAATTTTAGGCCAAGCTGCCTGCATTATTTTATTTTTTAAAAAATAGTTCCACGTGTCAAGTCTTATTACAGTAAAAAGGTTGACATGCTGTAACTTATTTACATCTGGTGGGCAGGGTAGAAGTGGAGCAAATGGTGAAATCAGATCAAGCAGTATCCATTCTTTAATCAGCTTCACTTCCTATTAGTCAGTAACTAGGCACAATGCTGACTGAAGTGACTAGGCTTGGTAATATGTTTAAATAGGATACAGGTTCTTCAGTTGAAGTTATTTTTCCAGGTCATTCTGTACATTTAGCAGTGTCCGTTGCATTAATTCTTGTTTGCACAGATTATTTCACCATGGTTATGGAAAACAGCAAACCCACCAGGTTTGTAGTGGAACAAGAGTCAGAGCAACAATATTAAATTCTAAGCTCACGGCTAGTTTTGAGTGTTTTTCTCTTGGTGTTTTTCCTCACTTTAAAGACAAGGCCAATCCAATGTTTCTTCCAATAATTAGCTCTAGAGAAAATCAGATAAACAAAGGGAATTCAGTCCACTTACATGAAAGTTTGTCTACCATATACTAAACCTGATCCCATTCTGACAAACTTTTTACAAAGGTATGTTTAGCAACCATACTATTTACTGAAATCCAAGGGTCTATTCCGAAGCATACAGATAGCTATGTAATTAAAGGAAGGCGCTCAAACTCACAATTTTGCCATGCTGAAACAAATCTTTCCACTCAACATTGGAAACTTATTAACTTTCGTAACTTTAGTGTTCATTACACCTTGTAGAACACCATAAACAAAAGACAGATCTCTTCCCATTGGAGCTTCATTCTAAATTTCATTTCCAACTTCTTCTGAAATCACTGTGTGCCTTAAAGCTGTTTCCAGTATTTTATGGACAGTCGGAATACACTAGTTAACACTTTAAAAGCATATATTGGTTTTGTCATGCTTTTCACATGCTACGTATTTGTCTGTACCTGTCAAATATGCTAGGTAATTTTACATAATAAGCTATCGGTACAAAACTGTGCATGGCAATAGGTTAGTCTAACAGGACATAAATTAATAAAATGTGAAAATAAACCTGTCTTAAAGTACAGACACTAAAATAAAAACTCCTGAGACTACCAAGATCCATTTATAAAAACTGAAGGATTAACCTAGAATTAAAACACAACTACATTGCCAAATATCCTAGATAAGGCCTATCAGTGGTGGCTTTCTCATGTGTTACATACCCAGATTCAGCATGCCTGACAGCACTAGTCCACATGGGGACTGCAACTTCAGGTCCTTTGCCTGAGCCCTACTAGTCCAAATAGTATATTGGGGAAGAGGGGGATTAGTGCAGTTTTCCACCTCACTCTGATCTTGAAAATATCGTGAAATATGACACCTTGATTGAACAGCATTGCTACTTGTACATGATCCAAAGAAAGGTGGAAAAGAGCAACAGTTCTGAAGCAGTAAGGAAGCTGCAAATCAAATATTAACATTTAGAGTGACTACTACGTTTTGAAAGTTCTCACATTAAGAGTGTATGCAGACTGAAAAGGAGCAGCCAGGGTTTTCTGTCCTGTAGAATGAGCCTGGCTTCCCCTCTCCTTTGCACTGCTTTAGACAGACATATGCATCAGCAAACCAAATGTTCATTCAGGGGCCATGCCTTCTACATGTCTACATTTTTTAAGCTCTGTGTGTATGCTTATTCAATTTAATTAACGTGGGGAGTTTTTAAAACATTATTTTCAAGACAGCAGAAACACTAACCTTGCAAAGGCGGGGAACAAAACACAGAAGTTTCAACACACCGAGTACATACATCAGGACATGCCCCAAGATATATCCACGTGCATACAGCCCCTCCTTACTCACACCATTTTACCGTGCAATCCTATCCAAGTCTAATCAGAAGTAAGTCCCATTGGGGTTCAGTGGGATTACACCAGGTAAATGGATGTAGGATTGAGCCCAGACTTGATGTGTAAATTCACAGTGTTCTTGCTGTTAGGGAACAGTCCATATAAACTGCCCAGATTTCCTCTGAACACATGCACTTCTTAAAGAGCACAGTTGTCAAATCCCCCTGATTTCCTTATTCCAGAGCATCTTACAACACAATATTACATGCTAATAGAAAACATAATGGACACCAGCTACCTATATCTCACATTTCCACCATTCCTCCAAGGATCTCAGGTTGGTATGCAGGCAGAGGGAAATGTTATGATCCCATTTTACAACAACACTAAGTGAAGTGCAATTGGCAGGAAGCTTTATGGTTATGAAGTGACTCAAATCCAGCTCTCCTTGCTTGGTCCAGCTCCAACACCCTAACAATTAACCCTACACTGGATCAGGTTGTGTTTCAATCTAGAACACATACAACATATTTATTTGGGCCCCTTCACATATTAAGGGTTTTTTAAGTGGTCACCCAAAGATGGAAATTATGTGACAGACAAGAATTGAAAATACACATGTCAGAAAGCTGCATTCAGCCTATAATTCTGTTGAGCATAATTTATGGCCATGTTACATGGAAAACTGTCCTAGCAGGCCCACTCCAATATAAAATCACATCGCAATCCCTACTCACAATCTAATAGTTATCCTCTGAGTATCACCAGCATATTTAGAACTGAAGAGCTGGAAGGGACCAAGAGAGTCATTTAGTCCAGCCCCCTGCAATGCAGGAATCTTTTGCCCGGTGTGGGGCAAGAACCCACAACCCTGAGATTAAGAGCCTCATGCTCTACCGACTGAGCCACATATTTATTTGGAAGCCTTTCTATCCCTCCTCTCCAGCCAGAGAAGGCTTACAACAGTGAAGTCACCCAAGGACAAACATGAGCTAAACCCTTACATTCATAAGTTTATAGTATTGGAAGCAGGCAGCTTCCAAGTCGGGGTTTCTTTGGTGTGTGTGTGCTCAGTGCCCTGCAATTTCAGGCGCAGTTAATCGTTTCAGGAGTGCCTGTGAGCGAGAAGAGATTAAGAACCAAACTGCCACGTTAAAATGCAGCAAGCGGTTACAACACATGGAATCGTAGGAGTTGTGGAAGGGACCCTGAGGATCATCTAGTCCAACCCCTTGCAATGCAGGAACATATTGTTTTAACACTCGATTGGGAGCTGCCCAGAGTGGCTGGGGAAACTCAGCCAGATGGGCTGGGTATAAATTTATTATTATTATTATTATTATTATTAATGCAGCCCTCTTGTAGGAACCTGCGACCTTGGTGTTAACAACACCGCGTTCTAACCAAACTGAGCTATCCAGGGAAGCGTATGTGTACACACACCCAAACACGCACTTAAAAGCACAACTGCCTGGGTCGGCCACGCTCGCCACCCCTCCTCCTCGAAGCACGACGCTCCCGTCACTTTCCGTGCAACCGCCACGGACACAACCCGGCAGCCTTTCGCCACCATGCCGTGACCACAACCCACTTGGGAGCTAAGTCCCGTGGGTTCCTGCGCCACCGACTCCGGCCAGGGTCCGACCCGCGCGCGGGTGCGCCGCCCGTTCACACGCTCCTCCGTCTCCCCGCTTCCACTTCCACACGTACGCGTCCCGACCGTCTCCGCCACACGGCCAGGCACAACCACCACCACCACCCCAATCCCCGCGTGTCAGGAAGGGCAGGCTCTCCGTCCCCGGGGGGTGGTCGCCTGAGGGGGCGCCGGGGCCTCTCGCGCGGCTCCTCACCTCCACCGGGCCGAGGCCGCGGGGAAGAAGCGGCCATTTCCACCACAGGCCGCCTCGGAAACAAACAAGGCCTCGCTCTCGGTCGTCGCCGCCGCCGCCTCAGTTCCCCCCCACCCGCCAGCCACCCGAGCCGGGCGGCGGGTCTGTCTGTGGGCGGGACGCGCGCGGCCTTGTCTCCCCCCTCGGGCGGCTCACCTGCATCCAGCAGCCTGGGCGTCTGTCGAGGGGGCTGAGGCGGCTGCTCAGGCGGCGGGGCTGAGGGCAGCAAAGACATGCAGGAGGCGGCGGCCGGGCCGGGCCGAGCGCGGAGGAGTCGCGGGCCTGGCGCTGAGGCGGACGAGGAGGGGGAGAGAGAGAGGCAGGCGCGCCCGGGTGTCTCTCCTAGAGGAATACAGACGTGCGCGCGTGTCTGTGGGGGGAAAGAGGGAAAGCGCGGGCAGGCGGCGCCGCCGCCGCTGACAGGACGGTATGGACTGCGTGGGGGGAAGCGGGCAGTCCCGGGCCGCCTCTTCTTTCCACCCTCCCCCCTTCAATAAGAGGGATTAATAACGGAGGAGGGGCCTGGATGACACGGCGAGGAGGGACGGACCCAGCCGCCGCCGCCGCTGCTTCTTCCCGCCTCTTTCTTCTTCGGCTAAGGCGTCCCGACAAGCCCTCCTCTCTCGCGCGCGCCCGCGACCCAGATTCGAGGCTTTTGCCCGCGACACGCGCGTTACCCCCGCGCAAGGGCGCTTCCACACGCGCGGAGTTTGTTTGCGGGCGTGTGGCTGCCCAGTGCGGAAGACCATGCCACTGGGCCCTGTGTTTCTGTATTTCCTGTATTTCCCTCCTCGCCTTTTCCAGGAGTTTCATTTGTTTTCACTTGTTGGATTTCTATACCGCCCTCCCTCCAAGGAGCACAAGGTGGTTTACAATATAAGAACACAAAAATATTGTTATGAGAGCTGGATGCCTTGGCCCCCTTCTAATTCAATTCGGATTTATCCTTGCCCGAAGTTCCATTTACTGTATTTCTTTTGTTGGATTTCTAAACGGCCCTCTCCGTGGAGCACTCCGTGGTTTACAATATAAGAACACAAAAATACTGCTATGTGGGGTTTTTTTGGGGGGGGGGCGGGCAGGGTGTTACGCTGTATGCCTTGGTGTCCTAATTTTTTGGAATAGCCAAGATAGCTTCCTGCTGAGATGATGGGGCTGCTAAGGAATCAAAGGAAAGGGTTCTGAGTTTGGAGTGATGTGAGCCAGAAGTAAAGCAGCAAGCTGGGAACTGAGAAAGTCAAGAGTGATGTTTGATTTCTGTTTGAATCCAAGGCCGCGGCTATGGGGGAAGCAAGGTTTCCCCCCCAGTTTCACTCACACTGCATGACTTTCTAATCTTCACAATTACTAGGAACAGTTGTTGCCACCCCATTCAATCTGCCGCCCTGAGCATCTGCTCCTTTAGCTCATGAAAATATCTCTGCTGCACATACAGTTTTTCCAATTGTGGCAGCTCACACATTTAGCTGCAGGTCAGCGAGCAAGGTAAGCAATGTATATGTTATGTGATCTGGCCTTAAGGCATAAGTATCAGGTTTCCTTAAAGGCAATGCCTTTGTGAACTGGAAGCCCAAATTATGTTCAGAGACTGGTTATGAACAATTCAGTCAAAGGTAATATATCTTCTTTAAAACAACCCCCGCCCCGCCCCGCCCCCCACAAATTCTCACAGCCTGGCAACCCTTAAATCACTGATTTGACTAATACCTATGGTATGTTACAGTTTTGCATACACATTCAATTGTTCACTATTTTGCAACAGAAGAACTACAGTATTTTATTTTCTATACTTGCATTAGAAATGGATGTGTTCACAGCATAGTGGACCACACAAACACATTAGTGCTTTGGGAGGACCATTCTGACATTAGCATAATTCAGTGGTGTTAATCTGGAGATCCAATCAACCCTGGTCCAAATCTTGGCCATTGCACCAATGTTCATTGGATTCCAGTCAAATTCACTTTTGCTTAGTAGCAACCCAGAGGAACAAGGAGCAAAGCTTACACTCCTAAGTTTGCAAATAACCCACACACACCCTGGCTCCTGAATGTAACATAAATTCATTACTCCATTTATGGATATACAAAGCTTAATGGAAATGAAAAATGGAAATGACATGAAATCCTTAGCGCAGGCAAAGCAAGGCAGGTAAGAGCAGGGAAGGAAATCACAGAATTGCGGAGTTGAAAGGAACCATGAGGGTCATGAAGCCAATGCAATGCAGGAATTTATTGCCCAAACCCTGAGACTGAGAGTCTCATATTCTACCAAAGGACATCTCCAAGTAGTGGGCTCATCCACACTTACCTTTTGGCTTGTGGTTTCCAGGTACAGGTCCACTCTAAAGCTGTGTGTCAGAGAGCTCTCCCTTTCACTCTGGAGCCTTCCCCTCAATGCCTAGCACCTCCAAAAAAAAGAAAGAAAGAAAAAAAAAGGAGGCTGGACCTTTCTCTCAAAACTTTCCGTCAATTTTACTGTTCATAAAGCATGGACTGAATTATCACCATCCATCTGGGAGGTGGAGAAATGAGCAGCTGGGAACTCTGCTGTATCAAGGACCTTTAATGCATTTCCAGGGTTAGTTTACCAAAACATGTTAAGCTCTCTCCCTGTTGTTTAGGCGACAAGGCTCCTTTCCCGTCACTAATGAGAATGCCAAGGTCTCTGTAAGCCTTTATTGAAAGCAGTAGTTGTGATAATACAAACCTTTGAAACGCAGACCAGAAGGTTATTGAAATCTAGGGGGGTGTTTTTTACATCCCTCTTCTGTCTCTCATACTGTGCGCCCACTAAAAGCACAATTACTTGATGAAATTAATCTGCACTAATCCCTGGCCATCTTTGAAATGCTCAGTTTCTCCAACCTTCCTTAATCTCATCTTCAAACCATGGTGGAATTATTGGGGGCTCAGAATCTCTCTGGTTACAGATCTTGTGGAGAAGGCGAAATAAAGTTTTTCGGGACAATGGATTATAAAAGTCTGTGATTTACTTTTTCTGTGAATATCATATAAAGAAAGGCTTCAAGGCTTTTTCCCTCGGTGTCCTCATGCAGACAGATAATTAACAGTGGAATCCAAGATGATCTGTTTAGGAATATCCCTCCTTTTGTAGGTTTCCCATTCACTTGCTCTGTCCGAACCCTGTAACTGTTCCTACCATCGAGTCCAATGACACAGTAGCCATTCTGAAGAGAAAGTACAAATTTTCATTTTTTTAACAGCAGAAGATTCAAGGTCAGCCTCTAATCCTACTTTTTGTTCCTATGGGCCTCCACTTCCCAGTAATGTTTTTCTCTGGAAAAACATTCTGTTGCCATGACCCTTCTGTTACAGACTTAACGGGAAATTATGTATGCATGCATGCGAACGAAGGCTTTTTTATTTTTGCAAACATTCCTGTCATAATACTAAAGCACAGTTAAGTTATGTTTTGTTTTGGCCACAGTGAACAACATGTACCAATCTGTAGCCCCTAGATCTTCAGCATTTTGGCTTTCATTACATTGCTGTCATAAGTAAACATCTTCAGAATTTAGAATAATGTTTCCAGTATTAAACTACTAATGGGGCGCAGAATTACTAAACCCTTCTGATGAGTCTGTGGTGTAGGCTGCATCTCTAATGTGTGTGTGTGTATATATTGTTTGTATGCCCTCTCACATACAGAGTTACATCCTTTCCTTTACAGAGTCTACATCCTCAGATAATTATCACTGATTATCTCCATTCCATCAATTTTCTGTTTCCATCTCCCAAGATTTATTATTTCTGTATATAACCAGGCACACCTCCTCTGTCACGATTCAGAGGCTTCTAGGATGAGCAAATAAGAACCCCTATTTATTTACAAAAACCCTATTTGTTATTTTATTGTGCGGTTTAAGAATCTTTCACAGGTTCTTCCTGACGTTTGGTCGGAATCTCCTTTCTCGTAACTTAAAGCCATTGGTTTGAGTCCTACCCTCCAGAGCAGGAGAAAGCAAGCTTGCTTCAGCTTCCATATGGTAGCCCTTGAGATATTTGAAGATAGCTATCCTATCTCCTCTCAGTCTCATCTTTTCCAGGCTAAACATGCCCTGCTCCCTTCAACCGTTCCTCATAAGGTTTGGTTCCCAGACCCTTGATCATCTTGGTTGCCCTCCTCTGCGTACGTTCTAGGTTGTCAATATCCTTCTTAAATTGTGGCGCCTAGAACTGGACACAGTACTCCATGTGTGGTCTGACCAAAACAGAATAGAGTGGCACTATTACTTCCCTTGATCTGGACACTATGCTTTTGTTGATGCATACCCATTGACAATTTTCTTGGTGTGTGTAGGGTGTTTGTGCGCGTGAAACTTTTCCTTTACGTATTAAATCTACATCCCGACTTTCCTCCCAAGGCAGCCCTGGGCCGGCAAAACAGCAAGTGATAAACAACAAAAACCTATTTAAAACATATTATTTTCTGACTGAGGCGAAAGTGTCCTTGATTGTTGAAAATGCTGTGAGTGTATAGGAGAAAGAAATGCCGGTTAACTCTAACCAAGGGTGAAAAACATTTGTATAATTTAAATAAAATGTGGGGATTTCAGTGAGCACTTTTGGGGGGTTTGATCAGTCAACCAGCTGCGAATCCACTGAACAGTAACATCATCTAACCAGCATTTTACTAGCTTCTCCACAAGTCCTCTTAGATCTTATCTGGAGCAGCAACAGATGAAGTTATTCAGGCCAAACTACAATCTGACGAGTTGCCTTTTGGTATCAGTTGGAACGCTTCAAATAATTATAACCTACGAGGTATGAGCAGCTGTTATTAAGATGATGTTTTGGGAATGATGGAAGGAGGAAGTGACTCATGCAGGGCTGTGGTTTTGCTTTGCTTTTTCCCTCGGTGTCATCATGCAGACAGATAATTAACGGTGGAATCCAGATGAAACTCGAGTGGATCTATACAACCAACTCTCCTCGCCCCCACCAACACTTGATACAGATCCGCCTTCTTCCAAGTAAGCGACTTTAGATCTGCTCTTACAGTCATTACTCTGATTTTGTGTGTGGTTCTACCCTGACCTTTCTTGCTCATGGCCTCTAATTTCCGTATCACACTTTTATATCTCAGGTTATAGCTCTTTGTCTGCCTTCATCACCGCCCCAAGCATTAAAGTACGCACCTGAAAAGTGCGAAAGAGGGCAAGGAAAAAGAGATGCAGTATATCAGGCCCCTTTTTCGGGGCAGCAATCTCACGCAGTGCCCCAGAACGTGTTTTTGGGAAGCTGCCATGAAGAAACTGTGTATTTTGGGGACCACGATCTCCCCCGGATCACGTGACTCACGCAGGAGCAGTGCCCTGGTGTGTTGGAGGGTATGCTTTTTTTTTAAAAAAGTAAAGGACCCCTGGATAGTTAAGTCCAGTCAAAGGTGACTATGGGGTTGCGGTGCTCATCTCGCTTTCAGGTCGAGGGAGCTGGCGTTTGCCCACAGACAGGTTTCCGGGTCATGTGGCCTGCATGATTAAACCACTTCGGGCGCAACGGGACACCGTGACGGAAACCAGAATGCACGGAAATGCCGTTTACTTTCCTGCCACAACGGTACCTATTTATCTACTTGCACTGGTGTGCTTTCGAACTGCTAGGTTGGCAGGAGCTGGGACAAAGCAATCAGAGCTCATCCCGTTGTGGGGATTTGAACCGCTGACCTTCTGATCGGCAAACCCAAGAGGCACAGTGGTTTAGACCACAGCGCTACTTGCGTTCCTTGAGGGTATGCTATGGAGGGCACGGCATAACAAAATGGCTTCCATGGGGAGTGTGGCGCAACACAAAATTAGAGACAGCCACCCCTGAAAACATAATAGTTACTATGGGAAGTCAGCTATGCCCTGCTTGTTCTGATGGTGGAGATTATTGATTTTACACACACATACACACTCTTTTGCTGTCTAATAGCAACAGGGAACATTCCTTAGCTCCAGGAAAATATACAAAGTGGCCACACAACACTCATGCTCATTTCACAGAATTCACTCATAAGATACCTGCACATTTTGCCCTATAACTTTCTTCGTAGGAGGGCTAGAGATTACTTTATATTTTTATCTGAAAGCTCAGAGTCTGGGGGTACCTGCCCAAGGGTACCAGTGCAAGACTTCATGGGTGCCACATCTCTCATGGGTGCCAGGTTCACAACCCTGGACTAGATATGCCTTCACACACAAATGGCCTGCTCCAGATCAGATAACCGTCCCCTCTCCATGGTTGTCCCGTTTTGTTCCCACATGCAATTATTGTAGTATTAAGAAAACACAAGTAGTTAAATCTGGAGTACATGATCCCATTTAAACTTACTTGACCCGAGACCAAAGCTGAGCTAATTAAAAAAGGAAACAGAATAATGAATGCTTAAAGCAAGTCCCTAGTGTTTTACTCAGCAGGTGAACTAAAAGCTTTGATTTAGCCCAACCGTGCGGGCTCTGTTCCTGTAATAAGAGCACAGGCGGATTATAAAACCACAGTCTTGGGATGGAACGCCCTGAATCCTTGCCAGCCTCTGAGACTCCGAAGGAGTAATGCGGAGGTTGAACTAAACTCAAAAGGTCAAGAATCCCTTGTGAAATCGCAAGCTTGATGATTCACCTCCTTTTCATTTCAGGAGGAGTGACCTGGCACTGTTGTTTCCCTCTTGCAGAGTTACAAAACTCAGCAATCCTATAGCTGAGCCCAGCGCCCAGAATTCTTTGAGGGGGGAAATGTGCTTTGAATGTGCTTTAAAGCCAAAGTGTACACAGGGCTGCTTCCAGACAGGTGGCTCCTGATAAATAACAAACATTTCTCTTCTGCCAGGGCCAGCACCAAGGAACAGCGTAGCTGGGCCTCTGCTATGGGTCTACTTTCCAGCGGAGGGGAGCATTGGCATGAGTTGGTTGTATCTGCCGCAATGCGGAGGTAGGCTCATCGAAGTGAGGGACCATGGAGGGTGTCTTGCCTAAGAGTTCTCCAAAACCTGGAGCTGAAACTGTCTTCCACTGTAAGATACAAGTGGAATTGCAATTGACCTCCCACACTATTGGGGCTTTCCCTAAATGTTGCCCCTCGGGTGTCGCTGTGGGACCACCAAGGTTTGGACTGTTCATTTGAACATTTCTGACAACATGGGGGATGAATTGAAAAGATTCCTGTACAAAAAGCTCTCAATAGCATGATGGACTCCATGCTATTGTAGTGTCAGAGATGGTGTACCTGTTATCAAAACTTCTGGAGTCCCTGAGGATCCCTAAATGTTGGACCGCTTCAAGTTTGCTGTTCTTAATAGTTTTTATTTTTAGCATTGTTAACTGCCTTGAAGGACCTTTTGTGCAACAGGCAGAAAAATGTTTTAATATTTCCCCCTTTGGATTAAAATTAGAATAAAGAGATGAATTTTTAAAAGGTTAATCTATTGGTGTTTAATTGTGGTTTTTTTTTAAGGATTGCTTTTTCCCTTATGTTTGTAGCTGTTTCTATTTTAGTTGTAAGCTGCCTGTGATGGAAAAAGGTGGGATATAAATAAACACCACCACCACCACCACCATCATCATGTTCTTTCTGTAACAGCAGTTGCAGCATATCTGTTGCGGGTGGGGAAGTGGTGGTCTGATTCACCAGAAACCAGAATCGTAGAGTTGGAAGGGACCACGAGGGTCATCTAGTCCAACCCCTTGCAATGCCCCCAGTGTGGGGCTTGAATCCACAACCCTGAGATTAAGAGTCTTGTGCTCTACCAACTGAGCTATCCCAATAACTCCCAAGCCATGATAAATAGATGATAGTTGGATCTACCCAGCTACACACCTCTCTAAGTACTTACTCATTTAAGTGTGATTGCCCATTATTACTCATGAAATGTCAAAAACCAAAACACTTGTTGTGGACTGGAAGCGTAGATCAAAAGTGTTTAATTGGGTGAAACCGCATCTCTAACATGATGGCCACCAAATATATATAAAAAATAAAAAAATTGTCTAGTAGCACCTAAGAAACCAACTAGGTTTGTTCTTGGTATAAGCTTTCATGCACACTTCTTCAGATAACATGCACACGAAAGCTTATACCAAGAACAAACTTAGTCGGTCTCTAAGGTGCTACTGGACAATTTAAAAAAAATATATATTTCACCTGCGTCAGACCAACATGGCTACCTACCTGAATCTAGAATAATGGCCACTGGTAAGACTGCTTTTAGTATTGCAGCATTACACATATCACTTTGGTTTAAGCAATAGTTTGCTAATTATTTTTTAATGGACCATAAGCGTAGATTGGAAGCGTTTAATTAGGGAAAAGAACATGTTGCAGTGTTGCTGTTTTTTCTTAATTAGCATTAAAGAGTTATAGTGCTATAACATTCTTTCATTTCAGCAATATTTCACTAATATTTAAATACCGGTTAAAAAAAATTATTATAGCCAGGAAAGCATTTTAGCACTAATTGAAAAAAATTAATTGAAAAAATTGTTGGGATTGTAAAATAGTTTCCACCACTGAAAAGATGTGAACGTTTACATCAGGAACAAGGTGAAGGGGAAAGAAAGATGGACATCGTGATCTGCTGCACCAGGGAATCCTGCCACCTGAGGCAACCTCTTCACCTTGCCCCATAGGTGGGCCAGCCCTGTTAACGGAGCATCCATTCTGATGGTATTTCCGAGGAATCATTAAACTGTAGAGTTGGAAGGGGCCTTGAGGGTCATCTAGTTCAGCCTCCTGCAATGCAGGAATCTTTGGCCCTATGTGGTGCTCGAACCTACATTTAAGAGCTACACGCTTTACCGACTGAGGAGACTAGACAGTGTTGCATTGCTGCTCTCCCCACCTCCTCACCTTGTCAATTTCCTTCTCCAGAAAAGTCAAGACCAGCTTTAATGGTGCTTCTTCTTCTTCTTTGGCGATCACCTGTAGCTGAGTAAGATTGCCTTCCATAAACATGGTTTTAACAATGAGTTCGTAAGCGGCTGTGGAGGCCAATTCTGGATCCACACGTCCTTCCACAGTGGGGACATTGGTTTCCGGACAGGAGTTGATCGCGGTGTGGATTTGCCAAGTGTGCCTTCCTCTTAGCACGTTGCTCCCTTTCGTCCTGAGTTTGAGCGTCTTCAAAGTCCATGACACTGGCTTGCAGGCCAGTGTATCCCAGTTGTCGGTGTTTATACTACATTTTTTTTAGATTTGCCTTGAGAGAGTCTTTAAACCTCTGTTATTGACCACCAGCATTACGCTTTCCATTTTTAAGTTTGGAATAGAGTAGTTGCATTGGAAGACGATAATTAGGCATCCGCACAACATGACCAGTCCAGCGAAGTTGATGTTGAAGAATCATTGCTTCAACACTGGTGATCTTTGCTTCTTCCAGTACACTGGAATTAGTCCGCCTGTCTTCCCAAGTGATGCAGATAAATGAACACAGGGCCTCAACATCAACTGTTTAGTGCATTATTTGGTGCATTATTATTGCTCTGTGCCCTGGCGCATTTTGGTTATTGCTTTGAACTAAGCTGGGTGGCGCTGTGGGTTAAACCACAGAGCCTAGGGCTTGCTGATCATAAGGTCGGCAGTTCGAATCCCCGCAACGGGGTGAGCTCCCGTTGCTCGGTCCCTGCTCCTGCCAACCTAGCAGTTCGAAAGCACGTCAAAGTGCAAGTAGATAAATAGGTACCACTCCGGCGGGAAGGTAAACGGCATTTCTGTGCACTGCTCTGGTTCGCCAGAAGCAGCTTAGTCATGCTGGCCACATGACCCAGAAGCTGTACGCCGGCTCCCTCGGCCAAAATAGCAAGATGAGCGCTGCAACCCCCGAGTCGTCTGCGACTGGACCTAACGGTCAGGGGTCCCTTTACCTTTACCTTAAGCTCCTTTATATCTCTCTGTCTTTTGTAATGGGTGTCTTTACATGTTTGTAAGCCACCTTGAATCTCCACTTGGGGAGAAAGGTGGGGATATAAACGTTTTGAATAAGAAGAGGAACTTTAATCCATTCGCCTCAGGGGCGGAACCTTCCTTGCCCGACTTCGCGAGGCAACCGGGGACGGTTTGCCGTTGCACACTTCGGCTTCCTCCCTGCCGCCGGCAAGATGGCGGCGCCCGCGTTGAGATGCTGCTGGAGGACAGGTGAGAGCTGAGAAGTGGGGCGGCTGCTTTCTGTGTCCCCCCCCCAGCCCCTCCTCGAAATATTTTAGGGCTGAGGGTCTCTTTTCCCGAGAGCCGGCTCCCATTGAGGTCGGTGCATGTGGGTTTTAGGTGAGAGAGGCGTCCCCGCTTCCCCGGTCCTGGAAAACGTGCTTTGTTTTGGGGTTTGTTTGGGGGGTTTTGTGTGTGCTTGGTCTCCCTTTTGCGAGGTTTTAAGACAGAAGGCGCCGTAGTTAGCAGGGTCTTCTGCTCCTCCACTTGTAAGCAAAACCCCAGAGAACTCAAATGGGACTTACTTCTAAGTAGACGTATATAGCACTGCCAGGGCTGCCAGAAAAGGCGGCAGAGAAGCAATTGTTTCCAGCAATAAGGGCTTGGATTGCATTTATGTACAAATAAGCTGTAAACAGATAAGAGCATTGGTAGGATTATTGAAACAACCTGCAGTTTTATAAGAGTATACAGTATGTTTAAAGCGGATGAACAAATGAGCAAATTGAGTTAATTTGGATATGCAGAAAATATTTTCAAAAATAAATTTAAGGAACCCCAGAAAGAGGGTTTTGAAATGTTTAAAATGATCGTAAAATTATTGAAATGTACAAGATTGAAAATCGTTTTAAAAAATTGGAATGCATTTATTTATTTATTTTACTTGATCAGATTTATACACTGCTCGATTGTCAAACCAACCAACCAACCAACCTCGAAGCGGTTTACAATAAGAGAAAACAAAAGAAAGGTTCGCCACACTGCTTTAAAGCATGCAAAAGTTTATGAAAGGCTTGTAGGGAAAGACGTGTGTGAGGATCAGTATAGTAATGGAATTTTCATTTCATTTCATTTATTAAATTTGCATACTGCCGCTCAACCGGAGATCACAAGGTGGTTCACAACATAAAAAGACGTAATGAGATACTCTTTGTTTTGCTGGGATTTTTCTTCTTCTTCCAGAGCCAGGTTTTGGTTTCTCTTCCCTAAATTAATGGAATGTACTGTTAAGGTGGGACGCGGGTTAAACCACAGAGCCTAGGACTTGCTGATCAGAGGTCGGTGGTTCGAATCCCCGCGACGGGGTGAGCTCGCGTTGCTCGGTCCCTGCTCCTGCTAACCTAGCAGTTTGAAAGCATGTCAAAGTGCAAGTAGATAAATAGGTACCTCTCCAGTGGAAAGGTAAACGGCGTTTCCGTGCGCTGCTCTGGTTCACCAGAAGCGGCTTAGTCATGCTGGCCACATGACCCGGAAGCTGTACGCCGGCTCCCTCGGCCAATAAAGCGAGATGAACGCTGCAACCCCAGAGTTGGTCATGACTGGACCTAATGGTCAGGGGTCCCTTTACCTTTACTATTAAGGTACTGTAGTTTGTTCTTGAGAACCCTATGGCGGCATTATACCATATGAGTGGTAGTGTTAATTGCTGCACACTGTGTTTAGTCACTTACCTAAAAGGACTAAAGTTGGTGAATCAATCATGATTTTTATATGTGGTGGCCCATAACTTGCATTGAACTTGGAAGGGTCCCACACCGGAACTCGGGCTGATAACTTTAGCATCAATAAGTTTCATTAAAATACGAACATGAGTTAGAATGGTGCATGAGTTAAATACCACACTTTACATGCCATATTCCTAATAGGTGTACTCAATGTAACCACCCCTCAGGTAGTTGGGTTGAGCTCCCTAGCGCTAGAGTTACTTCTTTAACCTGGAAAACATCCCATATCATAGCACATTTTTGCTTACTGATGGACCAACTCATTCTATCTAAGCAGCCAAATGGATTTTGATGACTGGAGTAAAAACAGTTATTCTCTAGATTCTAACATAACTCAATGAAATAAGAAACCTTTTGGTGTTATCATTTCTGGCAGCAGACTGAATGCTCCTCTACACAAAAAGTTCCTTTCAGAAAGAAGACTAGGGAAGAATGTGTTCTAACTTAGCCTCAAACATGACATTTCGTTTTCTGTGTGGAGGCATGTTTTAATGGATGAACGTTCAGATATGTGAGCACCCATCTGCAGTCAAGAGCGGTGAAGACCAGAGAAATAAGTGAGAACTGTACCAGAAATCTCTCTAGTTGGAAGCATAAACCATTGATTTCAACAAATTTTACTTCCAAGTAAGGCTGTGTACATATTACCAGCTTAAAATGCAGTTAAAGGTAAAGGGACCCCTGACCGTTAGGTCCAGTTGTGGCCGACTCTGGGGTTGCGGCGCTCGTCTTGCTTTATTGGCCGAGGGAGCCGGTGTACAACTTCTGGGTCATGTGGCCAGCATGACTAAGCCGCTTCTGGCAAACCAGAGCAGCAAACGGAAATGCCATTTACCTTTCCGCCGGAGCAGTACCTATTTATCTACTTGCACTTTGACGTGCTTTCGAACTGCGAGGTTGGCAGAAGCTGGGACCAAGCAACGGGAGCTCACCCCGTCGCGGGGATTCGAACCGCCGACCTTCTGATCGGCAAGTCCTAGGCTCTGTGGTTTAACCCACAGCGCCACCCGCGTCCCAAAATGCAGTTAGGTTGTTCTTTTTCTTAGTTTACTTCAAAGCTCATCAAAATGCAGCATATAGTAAGAAATGACCGGATAGATGCAGTATAAATATAAATTCTGACTAATGTGTGTGCACTCCTTCCCAAATCAGTGGTGGAGAGAAGTACGTAGGCAGCTCAAGCGTGCTCGGTCCTGAACCTTACATAGGCCTTTTGGTGTCACATTTAATCTATACTGTACTTTTGTTTGGAACTGTTTTATTTGTTGTTATAATTGTGTAATTATATTGTTATAACATGCAGTGGGAAAATACGGTGCAAGGAGGGTAAGAAATCATATATCCTTGGAATCACTAAATGCAAAGGCCTATTAATGCCAGTTCTGTCACATAACTTCGTTTGCAGCTTTGCTGATTCCTGGCTCTCATTAGCATGGTTTCTCTCTCCCCCCCCCCCCCGTCTTTCAACAGTTTCAGCTCAGTGCCCTAGCCGTATTTTCCCCAGAATTGGTCAGCATTCTGCAGTGCTTCCCAGTTTTGCCAGTTTGCTGATTTCCAATAGACACTATGCTGCAAAGTAAGTAAATAACTTTTATTTCTTTTAAACTTACTAATAAAAGACACTTGAAATCAAAGTATAAATAGCAACATTGAATAGGTTCAGGCAAGCATGTCACTGGTAGCTGAGTTCAGAAAGGCAACCTGTTTCTGGGGCAGGACTCGGTCCCCAAGATCTCCCCATACTTTTCATTTAATTTTTTAAAATTGTTTTCATATCTGTTCTTTTAATTGTTGTTTTGTTTGTATTGTAGTTAGGGTCCTTATTACATTGCAGAGCAGTGGGAGAGAGAGGTGGGAAAATATTGTTAAAAAGGTGTAGTACATCAGTGTATTCAAATCTGAATTGCTAAATTGTGTTATTAGTGATATTATGGTTTTTGTTGTATGTGTCTTTTGCGGTTGATTTTTGTATCGAAAAAATGATTAATTTTTTTTTAAATAAAAAAAAGGATATAGATTTTCTTCTCAACAAAATAAGAGAATGATGTGACACATTTGCGGGTCCCAATCTGCTAGTTGAAGATTAGTGCTAGACAATTGGTTTTATTTCTGGGTGTGATTGAAGAAAGAGAACCTATTATCTGGGGGAAAGTTTAAAAATAAAGTATCCAAGGGGAAGGAAAAGCAGTGAGTTCAAAACCTGGCAGGCAGTTTTCTAAAACAAAGCAGCCTCCATGGGCACCTTGAAATGTTTTGCTACGGATTGAGGCAGCTCTCCTGTTTTAGTTCCACCTTCCAGCCATCAGAAACATGTGTTTTTATAGTAAGTGTATTGAGCTGGGCTCTTTTATTTATCACTTCCATTTCCTTAAAGAAAAGAGAAAAAACCCAGAAGGGACCCCAAAAAGAAGACCGCAGAATCAGAGCCCAAGAAAAAAAAGGACCCTTACACATTTCCCTTGCCAAGTGAGCCAAAGGACGATGTTTATTTGACGTGGTGCTATCAAAGGCCAGTTTATGAGGCAGAAGTGGCTTTAGAGATGTTGAAGACGTTTCAGCAACTGGACTTCACTTCCCCCAAGCAGCACGTTTACATCGATATGACCCTGGACATGGCAATGGCGAAGAAGGTACGCTGGGAAAGCTTCATAGTTTGCAAGTACTGTATTAGTGGCTGCTTTCCTTTATAACTGAAATTATTTCTGGGACTTTGAAAGTTAGTTTGTTTTTTAAAACACTCAGTGCAATTTTTCGAAGTTGTTCATTCAGACATGATGCCCGAAGAAGGGCTCCCAAAACGTTTAGCTGAAATATCTTCACTTGGAATTTAAAAACTTGCACTGAATTGCGAGTTCTGCCCCTCTCTGCCCTGGGCCTTCATTCCACTGGGGAGACCTTTGTCTAAATTTGTGTCAGTGCAATTATCGATGCAAAAATGCTGTTGGAAGGAGAAGCAAAGGCGAGGTGGAAGCCTCTAGTCATCCAGGATATTTTCTGAAACACGCCACAGAATGTTTGGCTTGTGGTGATGATCTTTGAAGAGGATTATAGGGATATTTTCAGGGGCTTCCTTCAGCTCATAGAAGCTAGTTGAACAGTTATTTGGACCTTGACTATCGTGCATTTTATGTATATTTTAAATAGTTTTTAAAAATCTTAATGTGGTTTCTGTGCACCTGAAAAGAAATACAGAGCACATATCTAAATTTTGGACCAACTTGCCTTTGTCAACTAAGTAAATTTATTTTGCTGAATTCAATAATGTGAGGCTTTTCAATTTTGCTTGTTTGCTTTGGCACCTTTCAGAAACCTTTGGAACCATTCGTTGGTACGGTTCGTCTGCCTCACCATTTCACAGATGACATCCATAAGGTCGTAGTATTCACAGCGGTGAGTTACAGCATGTTGCTGCAATGCCTCCTTGGGTTTGTATGTATAGGTTAGTCAGGCAAGTGTTTTGAGGCAGTGGCCTCGATGCCACTCTTGCAGAATCTAGCAGATATCTCACCGTTTTGGATATATCCGGAAGGTTTTCTAAATGTATATTTTATTCTCCGTGGTGTGTGTTTGGTACAGTGTGTTCTAGATTATGATGTTCCTGAGAAGACTTGAGCCAGAGCTTGATCTTGGAATGGGTGAAGTGATTGTTGACATTTCCATTCCACCTTAAGGAGCAGACGTGTGGAACAGTTGCGTGTCACATGTCTGTTTACATTCCATCACAGCTTGCTGGGAACTTCCGTTGTGTATAGCTTTTGTGGTTCTCTCTGAGACGACGAGAGAGAGAGACGACATGTTTCTTTGTCCTGATTTATGATGCTGTAGTTGTAGTATCCTTCCAGAAGCCTCACGCCTATTCTGGTGTGCGCAGTTCTATCTGCTGATAGTGTGCCCTGGCTGAGTAAGCCCGGGTTGCTGATTTACATTGGAGCAAAGGTGATGGTCTTCGCAGCGGGACAGCTGGAAGGAGACGGCCCAGCTGGGGCTAGCCAGCTGGCCTCCCAGCCGTCTGCATGCTGACAGTGATATCAGAGAATGTTCAAAGTACTTCACATCCATAACCCCTTACAACAGCCCTATTAAGTGGGACTGGGCAGAAGGAAAACCGGAGTCTGCTGGTGGACCTGTCAAATAGCCAGCAGATCATCCTGGTTCTGTTGGGTGCTGTGATTCCTGCAAAATATGCTCAATTAACTTGACCTTTGGCCATCCAAGGCACTTTTTAAAGCATTAATGCATGCTCAAGATTTCTAACTGCTTAGCTGATACCTCAAGAGATCATGGCCGTGCCCATTGTGCCCATCCAACTTCTGGTGCACTCATTGGGGTCACCCAGTCAAAACACACCTATAACTTAGCCAGAGGGGAGGGGGTCTGCATTTCCTACCTAGCAGCACCTCCACCTGCCTAAGAAAGCCTTGAAGAAATGCCAGCTGTATGGGAAAATATCTAGTGCTCCTATTGTCTTCATTCTGAACTTTCGTTTCCTTACAGGATGCAGAGCAAGCTGCTCTAGCAAGAGAAAATGGAGCTACATTTGCAGGAGGGACTGAATTAATCAAGCCGGTAATTAACAGATGACATTAATTAAGTACTGTGAGAAGACCTAAAGAAAAGTAGAAAGCATCTACGTAATCTGAAATCAGTTCTTTTAATCTTTCTCACTTTTGATCATTTGTATCTTGTCTTGCGGGAGAAACCCATTCAGATAGGTGGAGTATAAATAAAATTATTATTATTATTATTATTATTATTATTATTATTATTATTACAAGCAGCCAGGTTGCTGCCATTCAAAAGAGTCCACTGCCAGAACCTACTGAGATACATGTATTATGTTACTTCCTGCTCCTTTTTTTGAGATCACATTTCTCCCCAGTATAGCTACCCTTATCATTGTTTGTGGTGCCACTCAAGGCTGCTGTAATTCTGGAGGTACTAGGAAGGCAAACAGGATCCCACAACTTCAGAAGGTTAGAATCTAAAGTATATTTTCAGATTCCTTATAAGTGCAGAGATATATTGGCATCAAGGGTCTCCTGAAGTTGTTGCAGAACAGAATTTTAAAGTCTGTTATAAATTCCCTTAAAATGTACCTCTTCTGGGTTTTGTGTGTATGTGCATATGTTTCTTTTAAGGGATTCTGCCAACTGAAATGAAGATATATTTGTAATTTTCTAATTATTGGCTCAAATTGATGCATGTATGTCAGGACGGGTTACCCAAGATTTGCCCAGACACCGAGGTCCACCTCCAAGGGCCTTTTGGTGGTTCCCGCATTCTGAGGAGTGAAGTTAAAGGAAACCAGGCAGAGGACATACTCAGCAATAGCACCCACCCTGTGGAATGCCCTCCCAGCACATGTCAAGCAGATAAATAACTATACAACTTTTAGAAGACATCTTTTAGAAGCCCTGTATTAGGAAGTTGTTAATGCTTGACGTTTGTTTACCATGTTTTTATATGTTCTAGAAGCCACCCAGAGTGGCTGGGGAAACCCCAGGCCGATGGGCGGAGTATAAATGATAAAATTATTATTATTAAAATGTGTTCTCAGCTGAATAGTTGCATCTCTCTGTTTCAGAGTTTAGATTAGAACAAATGATTCAGCATTTTGATTTCTTGGTTGGGTGTTTTTCCAGAATGAGGATGCCTCCTGCGAACCAAAAAAATAGAATTTCAAATATTTGTATATACAGATTGCTTTAGCCTCTTTGGCTCATGCCAGAGTAGGACCTTGACATGCTGTGATATTGTTATGTCTTGAAAATTATTTAGCCAATTGTGCTGCAATTTTCACATGGAGAAACTTGCTGTCTTTCGATTTCAGCAAATGCTGTCCCTGGTTGTAGTGGGAATGTACTGTAATATTCCCTACAAGCTACACATTATGAGACAGAAAATAGAGGCCGTTCCACTTCACTTTTTTTTTTTGTCCTAGAACTGAGAGTGCACAAAGTAAATATTTGCCTCAGCTGCAGAATGATCATGAACATTGTGGTCATTTATGCAGAAGCAAAGAAAAAGCAGCCCTCCTGCTTTCAAATGAAAATAAATGCCCTTCTTTTTGCACTAGCATTGTCTGAGTATTATTGAAGCTTATATGTTAGATTGCCATCTTGACAAATCATTAAATATTTGTCTCCAACACGGGGTAGTTGCGTATCTGATAAAGTAGACCAAACCCTTACTACTTTATGTGTAAGAAACACGTTCTTGCTGCCGTTTGTAGCCGTTGAAAAAGTTATCGTCAGCTTCTGAATGTTATGACTTCTGGCCTTGATGCTAAGCTTTGAACTTTAAGCGATATATTTGCATCATTGCTTTCATGGGAGGGGTAAGTGAATCCCCACTGGGAGACCGTCTCATGAAGGACATTGATATAGGAGCAGCAAAAAACAAGGAAGGAAACGTAGGTCCATCTGAGAAACAGCAGCTAAACAGAACTAGCATGGGAAAGGGCTGTTGTGCATGGCCTGGTGCTATGATTATCCTGTTTTAAAGAGGATGCAGCTCCCAGCTTTGCTTCAGCATGAGGACAAATGTAAAGGTAAAGGGACCCCTGACCATTAGGTCCAGTCGTGACCAACTCTGGGGTTGCGGCGCTCATCTCGCTTTATTGGCCGAGGGAGCCGGCGTACAGCTTCCGGGTCATGTGGCCAGCATGACTAAGCCGCTTCTGGCGAACCAGAGCAGCGTACGGAAACACCCTTTACCGTATTTTTCGCCCCATAGGGCGCACCGGACCATAGGGCGCACCTAGTTTTGGGAGGAGGAAAACAAGAAAAAATTATTCTGAATCCCAGAAGCCAGAACAGCAAGAGCGATCTGGCTTCTGGAATACCGTGTGGCTGTTCTGGCTTCTGGGATAACCACGCCAAGCCTCTTCAGGGCAGCGGGATGAAGGCTTCCCCTGCCCGAAGAGGCTGCGCAGGGCTAAGGCAGAAGCCAGGACAGGCGCGTCGCTTCAGCGAAGCTGGAGAAGGAACAGAAGGAGACCCTTCTGTTCCTCCTCGGGCTTCCAGGACAGGTGCATCGCTCAAGGGGCGCTGTGCCTTCTCTCTCTCTTCGCAGCGCCTCTCCTTCACAGAAGAGGTGCTGCGCAGAGAGGGAGAAGGTGCGGCGCCCTTCAGCGGTTCTCTTCCTCCTCTGGCTTCGCATGACAGGCGTGTTGCTGTGAAGCGGGAGGAGGAACAGAAGGAGTCCCTTCTGTTCCTCCTCCGGCTTCGCATGACAGGCGCTCGCAGTTCTCTCTCTCTGCGCAGCGCCTCTCCTTCACAGGAGAGGCGCTGCGCAGAGAGGGAGAAGGCGCAGCGCCCCTTCAGCGAAGCTGGAGAAGGAACAGAAGGAGACCCTTCTGTTCCTCCTCTGGCTTCCAGGTCAGGCGTGTCGCTGCGAAGCCAAGGAGCCTGCATTCACTCCATAGGACACACACACATTTCCCCTTCATTTTTGGAGGGGGAAAAGTGCGTCCTATAGAGCGAAAAATACGGTACCTTCCCGCTGGAGTGGTACCTATTTATCTACTGGCACTTTGACGTGCTTTCAAACTGCTAGGTTAGCAGGAGCAGAGACTGAGCAACGGGAGCTCACCCATCGCGGGGATTCGAACCGCTGACCTTTTGATCAGCAAGTCCTAGGCTCTGTGGTTTAACCCACAGCGCCACCCGCGTCCCACAGGACAAACATAGCTACCACATTTTCGTCCTTGTTACCTTTGTGCAAGGATGAGAAGCTCGTGGCCCATCCCACGTTGCCAGACTACAGCTCCCATCATCCCTGACTATTGCCCATGCTGGCCGGGGCTGGTGGGAGTTGAAGTCCCCTAGAGGACCACAGCTTCATCTCTTCTCTCTCCCCCGCTTGCTCTTCTTCGGCCTAGCAAGGAAGTAAGGAGGCAAATTGGGTGTTCGTTTTTTTTATTACAGTGAATGCTTGGGTTGCGAACGTGATCCGTGTGGGAGGCACGTTCGCAACCCGCAGCGCCGTGTCTGCACACACGGGGGTTGTAATTTGGTGCTTCTGCGCATGCGCAAAGTGCGATTTAGCACTTCTGCGCATGCATGATCGCCGAAACCCGGAAGTAACCCGTTCCGGTACTTCCAGGTTTTGGTGCGTCCGTAACCCGAAAAAACGCAACCTGAAGCATCTGTAAACCGAGGTATGACTGTATTGACTTTTGCTAGACTTAATTTCTAAAAGGGACATAAGCTCAAATCATAATAATCTTTTCTTCTTTCCTGCCAGATTTTGGATGGTGAAATCAAGGCAGATTTTTATGTTGGCGTGCCGACGATGTCATCCAAGATTACTCCTCTAAGGGGGATGCTGAAGCAAAGGTTCCCAAGGACCAGAAATGGTGAGGGTCAAAATTTTAGTGAGCATGCTGTGTCTCCTTAAGAATGTAAGGCTACAACACTGTAGACACTTGCGTGAGTGTAACCTTCCTTTCCAGTAATTATATCTGAGGTTTTTCTGTAGGAAGCATTTTCAACTTTCAACAAACCCCATAAAGCAGGTGTGAAATCAGCTGCAGACACACCCGATAATGTTCCACGAGCCACATCGATAGGCCGATTTATTAGGCTGTCTGTCATCATGCTTTTTATTATGTTCTTATCATGTTTTTAGCATTGATGTTCTGTAATGTGTTTTTAAGGTTGCACACTGCCCTGGGATATTTTGATAAAGGGCATTATACAAATTGTAACAGCGACAACAATCGGATATGCAGTTGTTGCACAGGAGGCAGGCCAGGAGCAGGGAGTCTGTGGCCCTCCAGAACTGCAACTCCCACCACTCCTAAACATGGGAGTTGTAGTTCAGCAAGATCTGGAAGGCCTAAAGGTCTCGGCCTCCATTTGTTAAGCCTTTGAGGAGTCACGGGACTCTTCCTGCAAAAGGCTTAGCACAGGGGACGGGGCGGGAACGGGGAATTTCCACTGCACTTGTGTGGAAGTTTCTCTGTGATTTAGTTGAATGCAACCCTAAGCCTTAATGGTGATTAGCTGCCGCAGCGTAAGGGTGCTGAGAGAATCCTGCAGAGCAAGGAGTGGTTGTAAAAGGGATCAAGGGGGCAGGATACCCCTTCTTCCTCAGTGGAGCCCTTGTCCTCTAGGGATCAGGCAAGAAGAAGTGGAGGTCAGCTGTTGGGCTGCATTGCAAGATTTTAAACATGAATGCCAGTTCCTCCCCCCGTTACCTAGATTGGGAACCTGCTCAACTTGCAAATGTTGGCCATAGCAAGGCTTTGCCGTGCAGACAGGGAATGATACTCTAAGGGACATGGGTGGCGCTGTGGGTTAAAGCACAGAGCCTAGGACTTGCCGATCGGAAGGTCGGCGGTTTGAATCCCCTCGACGGGGTGAGCTCCCGTTGCTTGGTCCCTGCTCCTGCCAACCTAGCAGTTCAAAAGCATGCCAAAGTGCAAGTAGATAAATAGGTACCGCTCCAGCGGGAAGGTAAATGGCGTTTCCGTGTGCTGCTCTGGTTCGCCAGAAGCGGCTTAGTCATGCTGGCCACATGTACGCTGTACACCGGCTCCCTCGGCCAATAAAGCGAGATGAGCCGCAACCCCAGAGTCGGCCATGACTGGACCTAATGGTCAGGGGTCCCTTTACCTTTACTAATGATACTCTGCATACAGGTCCCCACTGTGGCGTGTGACGTGCTTCTCAGCCTCACCAAAGAATGCCTGTTGACACACAGCTCTGTTTGTCCTGCAGCATTTGTCTTGACACCTCCCTTCACCTCTTTCCCCATTTTGAACTAGGTTCACTCAGTTACGACATTCTCCAGATGCTCGAGTTCTTTAAAGTGTGCCACGAATACGAAGTGGAGAACGGTAACCTCATCCACACACCCATCGGAATGGTAAGTTTCACAAGGGATTTTGGCAGCCTGTCCAGCCGAATTCGAGCCGTTGTTAATCATTTACCAAAAGTACGCACAGGTACACAGCTTTCGTTCTTCGTTTGCTCCGTTGCATTTCAGGAACACTTCGAAATGGGTCATCCCACAGGACAGTCAGTTAGGAGGGAAAGTCTGCAAATCATTACCCTCTGCTAACGTAAGAGGTTTCCTTTCTGAATACACCAGAAAGCAAGGTTTACATTACGTTTGCAAGGAGCAGCCCCTTAATAATATACATTAATAGCCTGCCCTGTCCTAAAAGCCCAGGGTGGGTAGCAAACTGTCAGTATTTCTCAGATTATGGGATAGTCCCCTGGGCAGCGGGGGGTGGTGACTCAGTTATCTGAGTGGATTTGCCTCTGTAAAACATAATGTACAAAATGGCATTGGAATGCAGTGTCGAGGTGACATTCAGCAACAGCCTAGTTGCAATACCTGGCAGAAAACTATGTGTTCTAAAAATCGGATTGTCAGCTAGTTAAAGAAATCTTAGTGACTTTAATCATATGCCTTTTAATTTAATAAAGCTACACATGAATAAAAAGCAAGACACATACTTTGTTTGACAGTGTACCAGTGCTTTGTGGCCCGTCAGCTTAGACGAGGCACTTCCACTCACAGGAAGACAGAGTCAGCTGCTTGCGTTTCTAAAATACATTCTGTATATTAAAAACAATTTTGTGTTCAGATCTGCTTGGCCACCTGTGGATCTGGCGAGTGCCAGAAATATACAGTCATACCTCGTGTTGTGTCCGCTTCAGGTTACGTGTTTTCGTGTTGTGACCTGCGGCAGTACCAGAAACGGTTACTTCCAGGTTTTGCTGCTTGCACGTGTGCGGAAGTGCTAAATCGTGCCGTGCGCATGCTCAGACACAGCGCTTCGGCCTGCGTCAGTTCCATGTTGCGGACGGGCCTCCAGAACAGATCCTGTCCGTAACACGAGGTTCCACTGTAGTTGGAACTCTATGGGAAAGTCTTCAGAGTTTCCAAGATGAGATTGTCAGTGTGGCCACATACGTGAGTCTGAAGCGAGGGAAGAGAGAGAGCTGTTCTCCCTATTTGCTGCTTCTCAGTGGCCTAGGGCACAGGGGAACTCTCCTATGTGCCTACCAGAAAGCACATTTTTTTTGAAGAAATATTTATTTAGTGGCTGGGCTAGGATGAAGAACCTCCCATTTACTCCCTAAAGGCACTCCACTGTCAGAGGCTTTGAATACCAGTTGCTGTGAATCACCAGTGGGAAAAGGGTCCTGCTTTCGGGTTTCCCATAGGCATCAAATTGGCCACTGTGTGAATGGGATGCTGGACTAGGTAGGCCTTTCCCCAATTCAGCAGAGCTCTTCTTACACTCTTGGTCTCCCCTCACTCTTCCTCTACATCAGTGTTTCCCAAACCTGGGTCTCCAGCTGTTTTTTGGACTACAGTTCCCATCATCCCTGACCACTGGTCCTGCTAGCTAGGGATGATGGGAGTTGTAGTCCAAAAAACAGCTGTGGAGATCCAAATTTGGGACCCCTGCTCTACACTGGGAAAGTCTTCTGTACTAAATCAGCCTTACAACCTGTGGCCTTTTCAAGTGTCTTTGTGTGGGAGAGAGGTATTGCTTGCGTTTGCTAAGTGTGTTGTGGGTTTTTGTGTTTTCCATGTTGCAAACCGCCCTGCAAAGTCTCCCAGGGCCAATTCAGACTGCCAGCCTCAACCTCTTCCTGAACAATACTGCCCCAATATTTGTGTAGGATAGGTGTGGGGGACCTTTGGCCCTCCAGAAGTTGCAGAACTGCAACCCTAGTCATCCCAGGCCATTGGCTACATGCTTGCTGGGGCTGATATGGGAGATGTAGTTCATCAAAACCTGGAGGGCTGGTGGTTTCGCCACAGCTGATGCTCCATGTCAGTCCTCAGCCCTTTGTTGATGAGATGCTATGGAATGTTCACAAACAGTTTTGCTTGCAGATGAGAATTTTACAATCCATGGCTGATCTTTGTGCAGTATGTATTTTTCTCTCAATACGTATTTTAACTAAGACTGATAGATTGATTTACTTCAGACCACAGCTTCTGTCTGACCAGTTTGCCTTCCTCTCCTTCCCTTTACCCCCAAGGAGATGATGTTTGCCCTAGGCTCCCAGGCTGCTTGTTGCATATTAAACCTTACAGATTTGATTTTATCTGAGGACTTACATATTGAGAGCCAATCACATAGCAGGCAGCCTAAGCAGGGGGTATATACACCTATATATTTACAGTGGTTGAGTTGGAGTACAAATATATCTTTTTTCCCCACAGCCGAATATCTTTAAGCTAATGACGCTAATGGCATTTATGGCACTTTGCATCTTTAATAGAGAGGAAAATGTCCCCCCCCCCTTTTATTAAAAAACAAAAGCCCAGAACTCTGATTAAATATTTACCCCAGCCGCTGCAGTTTTTATTAATCCGGGAGCGTTTAATGTTTTCTGCTTCATTAATTTTGCATTAACTTCTTTCAGCTGGATATGCCTAATGATCAGATCGTTGCCAATCTGGATGCGGTTATTAAAGACGTTTGTAAATACAAACCTTTGAGCTATGGTAAGCTGCTCTTCTCTTTTAGTCCCTTAATTGACACTAAAAGCTAATTATATTACACAGATGAATAAAGGGAGCACCTTTCTAGCACCGAGGAGGGGAAATGACTTTATTATTATTTTTATAAAAAAAAACCCCACACAGACAAGCCCAGCAATAAGGAACACTTAACAGGCAGCGCTATGTCAAGAGGGATGTACTTAAAGGATATCGTTAACAGTAGTAAGCCTGCTTCTTTTCTTTCAGAGGGAAGCTTTTGGAAGCTATTTTCTCATCCTCTTGGAATAGTGTGTGACGTTTTCTTGGCTCCAGCCTAATCCAGGCAGCTTTTGAAACATCAAGCACCATCTTTTTGCAGATTCCTATGGAATGGCTTTGAAAAGTCCTAGTGCAAATTTTGATATAGGTCTCTTTTAAAAAAATATATATATATATATTATCTGAAAAGTTTAAGGTGGGATATGTCCCTAAATTTGCAAGTGCTGATATATATTCAGTCCCTGTATAGGACAGCTGCATATTCCTGCAATGATCCTCAGAGTCCCTTCCAACTCTTCTATGATTTAAGCAGTTTGGTTTTGCCTTAGGGAAGTCATTTTAAAAAGAGATCATAGAATCATAGAATCATAGAGTTGGAAGGGACCACAAGGGCCATCGAGTCCAACCCCCTGCCAAACAGGAAACACCATCAGAGCACTCCTGACATATGGTTGTCAAGCCTCTGCTTAAAGACCTCCAAAGAAGGAGACTCCACCACACTCCTTGGCAGCAAATTCCACTGTCGAACAGCTCTTACTGTCAGGAAGTTCTTCCTAATGTTTAGGATGGTGTTGGCAGTTAAGGACATACACTTTAGGCTGGAATCCCCAGTTCCAGCCTCAGCTTGGCTATGAATTTAGATGGGGTGCCCTTGCACACACCTGCAATATGGGACTTTAAAGTCACTGTACTGGATGAAACGAGAAACACTATACAAATGCTAATTGGATGGTTGTCATTCAGCCCTTGCACCCTCTCCACTGCTATAAAGGCTAGAGCGGCAACCCCCACTTGGCCACCTTAGCAAATACCTTCACATTGACCTCGTGTGAGAAAGCTGGGTGGTCCTGGGACCCAGTAGCATCTCTAAAAATTTCAACCAGCGTAGCCTTTGACCTAGTTCAGAAGGAGCAACCAACCAACCAATCTGTCCAGGAATCCACTAGAGCCTGGTCTCCCACCTTCCCCCTGCATTCAAAGGAAAGAGATTTAAAGCTTCTGTTTTAGAAGAAACCATAATTATTATTTTTTTGTTCATCTGAACTTGGCAAACAGTGGTTTGTTCAAAGCATCATGCATCAAGGAAGGATGGTTTGGTATCCTGACCTGTTAAGAAACTGTGGTTTGAACAAACCGCTGTTTATGCCGAGTTCAGACACGACAACAAACAGTTTATTCTAAAATATGAACAGCCATGGCTCCTCCTGCCGTGCACGGAGAAGGAGGGTGCAAACCCCAGGCTCATGCACGTAATAAAACCCATGGTTGGGTGTGACATTTATACGGGGCCTCTATACTCCATTGTCCTGGAGATTTCTGCCTGCTGTTCCTTTGCCCTTTTCCAGCTAATATAGGATAGGCACCAAGAATAAAGATAACCCAGACAGGGACTGGCAGCCATTCTGTTCTCTGCTTGTGTTAAGCCTTATACCTCCTTGAGTAGAAGTCACATAATAAACATTAACACGGCAGTGAAGAGTGCTCAGGTTCGAATCCCCGTGACGGGGTGAGCTCCCGTTCCTCGGTCCCTGCTCCTGCCAACCTAGCAGTTCGAAAGCACATCAAAGTGCAAGTAGATAAATAGATACCGCTTCGGCGGGAATGTAAACGGCGTCTCCGTGCGCTGCTCTGGTTAGCCAGAAGAGGCTTAGTCATGCTGGCCACCTGACCTGGAAGCTGTACGCCGGCTCCCTCGGCCAATAAAGTGAGATGAGCGCCGCAATCCCAGAGTCAGCCACGACTGGACCTAATGGTCAGGGGTCCCTTTACCTTTTAAAGAGTGCTCAGAGCACTCCATGCACATTATCTCAGGGATATTTGCAATTGTTGGATCAATCCATCAACCTCTGATGGATGATTTAGAAGGACTGGGTCCGGCATAACTTTCACTGCCTGTGTGTGCCAGGATCTATCCTCTGCAGAGTTGCATCTCAATGCATCTCCTTCCTTGGAAGCGTCTTTGGGGTTGAAGGTACACAAAGTAGGCAATAAACACTCATGGACGCCATAAAGATTCAGTCAAGTGTAGAAGTTTACTTGACAGGCATTAAAGCATATTGGTAGCAAATATATACAGACATTCACCCCTGCCGTGGTCAGAGTCTAACAAAAGTCCAAGACACACACTCTATGCTTCTCTCACTGCAAGCAAGAGACTCACAACAAGTTACACAGAACCGTTGTTATCAGCACTTCCTGTCACGCTGCGCATTTCCAAAGAACAGTCCCCGCAGAAAAAGTCCTTGCATAGACAAAACAATCTCGGCCTTCTGCTGCTTCTTGAAACTTATCCTCTGTTCCTCTCTGTTTCTGGAACAAATAATTCCCTCCCTCACACAGAGACAATATCCAACAGTAATAACGTTGAAAGGCCGGTGAGAATTTCTCCCCCCATATTGCAGCTCAGGGGTAGCTAACTTTTTTTATCCTCAGGGCTACATTAAAGGTGGTCCTGACTTTCAAGAGCTGGCGGGGGCAGGAGGTGGGGGGGGAGATGCAAGAGGTTAAAGGTAAAGTTAAAAGGACCCCTGACCATTAGGTCCATTCATGGCCGACTCGGGGGTTGCGGCACTCATCTCGCTTTATTGGCCGAGGGAGCCAATGTACAGCTTCCGGGTCATGTGGCCAGCATGACTAAGCCGCTTCTGGCTAACCAGAGCAGTGCACGGAAACGCCATTTACCTTCCCACTGGAGCGGTACCTATTTATCTACTTGCGCTTTGCCGTGCTTTCGAACTGCTAGGTTGGCAGGAGCAGGGACCGAGCAACGGGAGCTCACCCCGTCGCGGGGATTCACTGACCTTCTGATTGGCAAGTCCTGGGCTCTGTGGTTTAACCCACAGCGCCCTGAAAATGGCTGGTGGGGGTGGGGAAAGAAGCCTATCCACTCCCATCAATCATAGATCCATGGTGTAACAGGGCCTTTTGGGGGGTGGGTGGGTATAATCCCATCCCCACCGTTATTGTGGGTGCACCTCCCCATGCAAGTTAATGGTAAGCACAATCTCTCCATTAATTTGCATGGGGTGTGTGGAAGAGGCTTTCCTCCTAACCTGCTATGGGAAGGAAATTGTGGACTGGCAGGCCACTTCGAAAGGCTTTTGTGGGCCCGATCTGGTTCTCATGTTCACCCTGCCTTACAGGATAACTACCCCTGGATAATCTGAGCACGTTACTCTCCTTTTCAGACTGCAGAACACTGCGCCCCAACACAAATGTGTTTTTAATCCATTTTCAGTGCACCATAGAAATTGTGTCTCCTGTTGCTGCTTCCCTTTTTCTCTTCAGCTAAGCTTTGAAATTTTGGGGCTTTCCAGCTCACACTTTTAAGCTACTCCACAACACCAGCTCAACAATCAAATTGAAAGCCAAGGTTTGCCACTAGATACTGTAAATAACCGTGTTTAACGCAGTCTGAAGTAACGCAGACTGCCACATTCACAATCCCAGCATGGAAGCAGGGTCTTCTCTTGTCGCCAGATGTGGAGGTGAAAGAGCTCAATCTATCAGATATCAATTCGGTTGACGGCAGCAAACTTTTATTTTTACGCATTTCATTACAGCATTTAGGTCAAAGCTAAGTTTCTCAGCCAAAGCTGAGAACAGATACATGATGTCCATGTTCCATAGGCAAGTTTAGTACATTCCTAAATCTCTCACACTGAAATTTAAGAGCCTTAAAAGTGCTTTACTTTTGGCTAGGCCTGACCCTGTACTATTTTCTACAACACTTTTAATAACTTGAGGACAGTGTGATCAGTGTTCTAGATCTCGCAGCGCATGCTGTTTGGCTTGTCAGCAAGAGCACCAAAGTGATAAGCTGGGTTTTTCCTCCCCCTTTTCTTTTTTTCTAGGCCCGTTTGTGACACACTTGAGCATTTGCAGTTCAACAAGCGAAAGCTTGGATTTAAAAGTTGAGCGCTTTCTTCCCAAAAGAACTGTGAAAGAGAAAGCGGAAGAGAAGGTGAAAGACGATGACAGCGATGATGACGAAGAAGAAGAAAGGCAGAAGTCCAGCTAACTTGAGTGTTGCACAAATGTCTATCTTTCTCTCTGTACAAAACCCTTTTACAGAAGCAAATCTGTGACAGCGTCCTAATCTGTGTACAGGGGCCTTGCGGCAGTGCAAGACCTCCCAACTGTTCTCCTGTCAGGGCATAAGGAATTGGCAATAAGATGTATTTTAAAAGTTTTTATTGAGAGTCCAACCTGATATTTGGGGAGCCAATTGTTTTATGAAAATGTCTTGCATAGCAGCACCTCTCTCAGTTCATATGAGTAGTTGTACTGCCCTATTCCCTTTGACTATAAATGAACAGTCATTGTTCAATTTGTGTGAGTGTGTATATGTCTTCGAAGGAGATTTACAGAAGCCGTTCTGGTTTCTGATTTGATCCCTGAATGTCCTGCTCTTCTTTAGGACATCCAAATGTTGGAGGGTATGGAGTTATGTGACCCCCAAGCCAAGGAATGTAAAATCTCTCCTCTCCCTTGTTACTCCAGTCATTTGTGTAATCAACATAAGAATTGATTGCATCATTCCAAATACATGTTTGTTTGCTTGTTTTTTAAAAAACCCACTAGATTCTGTTGTGGCCTCATCAGTTGGTCTGTCTTTTTGTTTCTTAATTTAGCACATTGACACGTTACCATGACAGATTTCACGCAAGTGTCTGTCTAAACGCCCTCATCCTGCATGAATTCCTAGGACAATGCTAGCTGCTAAGATCCAGCATGATCTTGAAGTCACTTGGAGACCTGAATTCAGATCCCACCCCAGGTCCACAAACTGGGTGTCATTGGACAAACCAGTTTCTCAATCTTGGTTCCTCTACTTTGACATGTCTGGTTCTCTTAAATCCTTACAAGAACTGGTCCGAGAGGTAAAAAAAAAAATCTTGTGCTGCCACGAAGCAGAGGAGTATATGAAGATCTGTGCTGGATCAGACCAAAGGATAATCTGGTCTGGCTTCCTGTCCTCGCAGTGGCCAACCTGATGTCTATGAAAGCCCACAAGTAGAACATGAGACCTATAGTTGGTTCACATGCTTGGTACTTGGGTTGGTTAGCAATAAGAACACAATTTAAAAACAAACGATAAAAATGTAATATTAAAGTAGGTAAAGGTAAAGGTACCCCTGCCCGTACGGGCCAGTCGTGTCCGACTCTAGGGTTGTGCGCCCATCTCACTTAAGAGGCCGGGGGCCAGCGCTGTCCGGAGACACTTCCGGGTCACGTGGCCAGCGTGACGAAGCTGCTCTGGCGAGCCAGCACCAGCGCAGCACACGGAAACGCCGTTTACCTTCCCGCTTTTAAAGCGGTACCTATTTATCTACTTGCACTTAGGGGTGCTTTTGAACTGCTAGGTGGGCAGGAGCTGGGACTGAAAGACGGGAGCTCACCCCGCCGTGGGGATTCGAACCGCCGACCATGCGATCGGCAAGTCCTAGGCACTGAGGTTTTACCCACAGCGCCACCCGCGTCCCATAATATTAAAGTAGAGGAGCAAATAAAAACAAAAGCCACTCAAGAGCTGGAACAATACAGAATGAAGCATGAATTTGCAGTCATGGGCATAGTCGGCCCTTCATCTTTCCCAACATCAGGGTCTTTTCCAGGGAGTCTTCTCATGAGGTGGCCAAAGTATTGGAGCCTCAGCTTCAGGATCTGTCCTTCCAGTGAGCACTCAGGGCTGATTTCCTTCAGAATGGAGAGGTTTGATCTTGCAGTCCATGGGACTCCCAAGAGTCTCCTCCAGCACCGTAATTCAAAAGCATTAATTCTTCGGCAATCAGCCTTTTTATGGTCCAGCTCTCACTTCCATACATCACTACTGGGAAAACCATAGCTTTTACTATACAGACCTTTGTCGGCAAGGTGATGTCTCTGCATTTTAAGATGCTGTCAAGGTTTGTCATTTCTTGTAGCCAGTTTAAAAACACCTTGACTAGTCCAAGACCTGTCTATAAAAATGTTGGAAGTCTCTAGGGCGGGAATGTCCAAAGTCCATTTCAGGGGCCTAATCTGGCCTGCCGGTTGGTTTAATTCGGCCCCTGTAGCAGTCTATTTCCTGGGGTAAAATCTTTTTTTTAAAAAGCAACATCAATCCTAAAGAAAGCTCAACTATTTCAACCCTTAAAAAAAAAGCTCAACTTCAGTCCTAAAAAAAGGTCACGGCCCTTCACTTCATCACATCTGGCCCTCTGAATTTTTTTTTTGACACCCCTCTTTCTCTCTTTGGTGATCACTCATAGCTGAGTAAGATTGTCTTCCATACTCTTGGAGCAAGAGGACAATAAGTGGTGAGAATCTCTAGGAAAGAGTTTCTAGCCGCTGCCCCAACGCGCAATTAGTTGCCTAGACTTTTAGAAGTAGGAAAACTTTTAATTCCTTTTTTATTAGGAGCATGCCATCTTCGAAACAAAGAAAATTGCAGCAACCAGTCAACGTAACAGAGACAAGGTACACATTAACTGCTTCCAAAATATTTATATATTTAACAGGATGTATATACAGTTTAATTGACCAAACCGCTGTGTAGTTTATATAAAATTAGACACTAAAAATATCAATAAAATCTGGTGTTAAAAAAAAACAACCTCTCTCCACGCACCCCAAAATTAGTAAAAGCCAGCAGTTACATGTTAAAATGACATGTCTGGGCAGCCTTGCCTAAACAAAGTTTTTAGCACGCGCTGAAAACTAGCCAGGTGAGCTTGGCCTGAGATGCTTGCAGTTTCTGCACCCTCGTGAAGAGCTCTCCAGCTTGATCTCGCCTGCGCAATTCGTCTTGTTTCTGGCCTCAGATTATGGCAAACAAACTTCGGCATTTGCTTTTAAACAGCAGCATCAACAATACGTTTCTCCAGAGTCAATGGTGATATTGTGGGGCAGCAAAGGCCAATTGCCCCTATTTTCTATATCAGTCAATACTCACAACAGGATAAGCTATGATCAGTCTGCTACATTTCCTGGCCGTGATGAATGAGTAGACAGTGGCACTCAGAACAGCATGGATGAAATGCTTGGGTTTGTTTTTTGCCTTTCCTGCTAGGCTAAATCCAGGGTATAAATTGGAACGGTCTTTTTTAAAGTTTCAAATGTTAACATGGCATTCTATAAAGAAAGAGTGATTCCTACATTGAAAACAATTTTGAGATGAAAAACTATCACTGTCAATGTTACTTTTATCAAAAGGAGATCGGGCTCGGGTTCTGCATAATCTCCAACATTTCTCCAATGTAAATAGGTACGTCCTTGATGCGGGTGGCGCTGTGGGTTAAACCACAGAGCCTAGGACTTGCTGATCAGAAGGTCGGCGGTTCGAATCCCCGCGACGGGGTGAGCTCCCGTTGCTCGGTCCCTGCTCCTGCCAACCTAGCGGTTCGAAAGCATGTCAAAGTGGAAGTGGATAAATAGGTACCACTCCGGCGGGAAGGTAAACAGCGTTTCCATGTGCTGCTCTGGTTTGCCAGAAGCAGCTTAGTCATGCTGGCCACATGACCCAGAAGCAGTACGCCGGCTCCCTCAGCCAGTAAAGCGAGATGAGCGCCGCAACCCCAGAGTCGGTCATGACTGGACCTAATGGTCAGGGGTCCCTTTACCATAATAGTAACAATAATAACAATATGTATAAACCACACATCAGATTGGGTTGCTCCAGCCACTCTGGGTAGTTTTCAACATACAGTCATACCTTGTGTTACTTTTTCTTCACGTTGCGGCTTTTCAAGTTAGGAATGCGGCAAACTCGGAAGTGTTTACTTCCGGGTTCACCGCATGTGCAGAAGCGATCTGCTCACTTTGCGCATGTACAGAAGTGCTCTATCACGCTTCACACATGCGCAGTAGTGGCGCTCTACTTAAACGGATTGCGTTCGTAAGTAGAGGTACCACTGTAAATAAAAAACATAATAAAACATTAAACATTAAAAAAACTGCAGATGTATTCTAAAGGTTGTATAGTTACTTCTCTCTGGGGCTTGGGGGTCACATAAGTCCATACCCTCCCAACATTTCTCCACTGAAAATAGGAATGTCCTAAGGAAGAGCAGGACATTCAGGGATCAAATCAGAAACCAGGACAGCTTCTGTAAATTTGGGACTGTCCCTGGAAAATAGGAACCCTTGAAGGGTCTGGTTCTGCAATTGGATGCAATCCAATTGCAGAACCAGACCCTTCAAGGGTTATCTCCCGCTTGGACTACTGCAATGCACTCTACGTGGGGCTACCTTTGAAGGTGACTCGGAAACTACAACTAATCCAGAATGCGGCAGCTAGACTGGTGACTGGGGGCAGCTGCCGAGACCACATAACACCGGTCTTGAAAGACCTACATTGGCTCCCAGTACGTTTCCGAGCACAATTCAAAGTGCTGGTGTTGACCTTTAAAGCCCTAAACGGCCTCGGCCCAGTATACCTGAAGGAGCGTCTCCACCCCCATCGTTCTGCCCGGACGCTGAGGTCCAGCGCCGAGGGCCTTCTGGTGGTTCCCTCATTACGAGAAGCAAAGCTACAGGGAACCAGACAGAGGGCCTTCTCGGTAGTGGCGCCCGCCCTGTGGAACGCCCTCCCATCAGATGTCAAAGCAATAAATAACTACCTGATGTTTAGAAGACATCTTAAGGCAGCCCTGTTCAGGGAAGTTTTTAATCTGTGATATTTTACTGTATTTTTGGTTTCTATGGAAGCCGCCCAGAGTGGCTGGGGAAACCCAGCCAGATGGGTGGGGTACAAATAATAAATTATTATTATTATTATTATTATTATTATTATTATTATTATTATCCATTGGGTAGTCTTTGCTATGGAAGCAGCTCCAGTTTGCTGAGCAGTGCATCATGAACTGCTCTTCCACACTTGGTTGGAAGAATGTTTCCTAACAAGGAGTGCTGCTTGCCAGAAGCAATGGAATTCAGTTGCCCTAGAGCAGGGGTGGCCAATTTACTGCCATCTATTTTCAGCATTAATAATAATAATAATAATAATAATAATAATAATAATAATTTATTTATACCAGCCCTCCCCAGCCAAGGCCGGGCTCAGGGCGGCTAACAAGCAGTAATAAAAACAAGTTGAATGAATACAACTTAAAAACATTAAAATCTGGCAGTGATCTACCCCCCTTTTAAGGTTCCGTTTTGGTGGAAGGGTTTCTCACCAAAACAGCACTGTGGAAGCATTTTGCCACACAGCAAAAACTCCATCTTCAGAGATCAGGAGAAAATCCAGGCAGGGGAGGGGGGCCAGGACCGGGTGCTCTTAGGCAAAAGCAAAGGAAAATGAGCCCGCAATCAACTGCGACCTCCCGAGGATCAACTTGTTGGACATCCCTGCCCTAGAGATAGGTGGCCAAGAGCCAGGGGGAATGCGGGCCGCTCTGTGACTATTCAGGGCAAAAGACTGAGCGCCCCTACCTCTTTCAATCAACACAACAGGTTCAAAAAGCTTCTGCCGGGATAGCAGGGCCGGCTCAAGGCATTCTGCCGCCTGAGGCAACAAACAAGATGGTGGCCTCCATTCCGTGTGCCGAATCTGACATCAGCTGAATCTTGCGTCAATGCCTTGTCAATGCGGTGAGACAGCTGTGTCCATCTGCAGGCCACTGGCTAGCTTAGGGTGCAGAAGACGGGCCAGATGGAATGTGCCACTCTCTTTTCCTAAAGAGGGGGAGAGGACTGTCTCCTCTACACAAACCACCAGCTGGTCCTTGGGACTCCCCTCCATGCCAGGTCCCTCAGCAACCTTGTTGTGCATCGTATTGAAGACTTCTCCCTAGTTAGTGTAAGCAAATGCAGATGGAAGAAAGTGAGCAAGGGGTGAACCTAGCATGGCCTGGTGCTCCGCTCTGCAGGCGTAAGGGGCATTTGCCCACCAAGGGACACGGCAGCTGGTTGGCTGGGCTCCCCTGGGTCCTATTTGGTTCCAGGGAGGACACTCCAGCAGCGTCGGCAACTTGCCTGCCCCGGGCACCAGCAATCCACGCTATGCCACTGTCCTCTGCTTCCCACAGCTGCAGGTCCAGCTTCCCAGAGGCGCTTTCATGCAACCTTTACAATTGCCAATGCACCTTCCAGGAAGGCGCCTGACAATCATAAACGGTGGCGTGATCTCACAACCTCATTCTTAAGGATCCCTACCGTGGACTTTGCTTTTTCCCCAAAGTGCTGGGTCAACACAGGATCACACTAGTTGCTAGTCACTTTTTTGTTTGGTCAGTCGCTTTCCCCACCAACGTGCAACAAATTTA